TGAGATTTTATCTCATATTTTGTTTCTTTGCATTCGAATGATGCTTTTTATGTTTCAGTTTCAGTTTCAGTTTCAGTTTCAGTTTTAGCTTCAGCTTCAGCTTCACTTTTAGTATTATATTATTTTTCTTTTTCTCGTTTCCATTTGTCGCCTACAGCTCTCTGTGATCTTCTTCCTTCATGTGATTATAAAGCCCTCTACTTTTCTCTGTCTGCTACCAAACCCATCATCTGTTTTTGTTTGTGAGTGATATTACAGTTAGTCGTACGTATTCAGTTTACGTTTATTTGCTTGAATGCGTTGTGTGTATGTGTGTATGTGTGTGTGTTTGTGTGATTTTCAAACATGCACATATAGAAACATATATATATATATATATATATCTATATACATATATACATACATTTGTATATGTACACAAAATAAGCGAATGATTCGTTTTTTTCTTTTCCTTTTTTTTTTCTTTTTTTTTTTCTTTCTTCGTTATTAAATATGCTGCTGAGCTAACGTAGTATTGCGGATGTAACAGCATATGCGTGTGTTATGCCCCTGTATACGTACAATTTGATTTCCCTCTGCATTCTAGGTTAGAACAATGTTCAAGTATCCCTCTACCCTTTCCACTTGAAAATCACTTGTATGCCCAAGCAGTCCCCACGCATTACCTCATTTTCCCGCATTTTAAATTGCTGTTGACTTTGTTGTTTATTTTATTGCAATTTTCAAAGTTCCTCTTTGCTCGTGAACACAAATGTTGAATATTTAAATTAATTTCATGTTACACTTCCGTTGCAAAGCTAAAAACAAAACAATAAAAAAAAAAATGCATAAAAAGCAAAAAAAAAAAAATTAACCATTCTTTCTACACAACCGTTTATGTTAAAGAATTTTAATTCAAATAAACATTAAATCTCGAGCGTGCACATAGTTATTTTCAATTTAATGTCAAATCATTCCGTTTAATAAAATAGTATAAAATAATAAAACTAATCGTAATAATCTAAGGAAACATACATCTAAAAAAAAAAAAAAAAAAAAACCCCAAAAATAGGTTAATTTTTCTTTTTGGTTGTTTACTGCGTTCTGCGGAATTTCTACAATCGACAGTACGCGTTTGCATTGCATCACCGCACTTGATTGAATTGAAGCATTAGCTCAACTTATTGATTTATTTCCATGAAATTTATCAGAAAATCACTCTTTTCAAGCAAACGAGGTCTTTGTTTGCCTTTAGGGTAAACCAAAGAAAAAAAAAAAAAAAGGAAAAAAGAAATAAATAAATAAATAAAATGAAATAGTCTAAATAAATAAAAAAAAAAGGAAAAAAAAAAAAAATTTAGTTAAGGTATATGGTACATATGCCCTTTCACGTGGTATTTCAAACATATAAAATCTTTACAGACTTTTTACATTAGCATAGGAACTCGTTTAACTTATATTATATTAATTAAACCTAGCTTTTCATATTCATCAGTACTTTTTTGAAAGCAGTTAAGATACCTTTGAAATGCCTTGAAGTAGTCAAAATCATTGTAGTAATGAAATTAGAATATTGTCGGGATGATTCAAGCATTCGAAATCCGATTTGGTTGGGATCAACAAACCAAAGTAAAAGTAAATGAAATAAAAAAAAAATTGGAAATCATTGAAATCATTAACCAATCCGCGATATACTGACAGATTGAAATGAGAACTTACAACTGGTTGCTAAATCATTCAATGCATGGGCGAATCAGCATATTTCCCGGCAGACACACTCAAGTGAGGGAACTACTATGTATGCAATTCGAGGCCGATATGTTAAATCGCGTTACTTAGACAGCTGCTGGGAATTCACGTCATTTCTTGAGAATAGAAAAATTTTCAAAACATTGACCGATTAAGTGTGAGTTAAAAGTTTTATTTGGGAAACGAATTTACAATGACATAGTGAAATGGTGCAGTGAAAAATTGAAAAGAACGCTTTGGACATTCAATTTTTCTGAATTGTTATAACTGAAGGCATCATTAATAAAGTGCTGGATAAGGTAACGCAGGATGGCCAGTTAACACTGAATATAATTTTGCATTCGCATATAGATCAGTAGATATGATGTTAATTTATGTTTTGGGTACAAGAAAACGTTTAACAAGATATGTATATTAGCTAACCTCGGATTATAAACGCTTTCAGCTATGGCGTTTTGAAAAGCACTTTAGCCCATTTTCAAAAAGAAAATTGCATTTTTTTCATCGATTCTATCTACGGATATAGGGATTTAGTCTCATCACTGTATTATCATCTGACCCAATTGCCAATAGACCAGAAGACGAATTAAACCCGATACTTCAGGCTCAAAACTGCTAAATTGATCAAACTCATCTCACGTGAGTTTTTATTGAAAAAAAACGCAAATTTTGTTCATTATCTCTGGCTTTAAAAATCACTAAAACAAGTAAAGCAAAATAGTACTACGGTAACTTCTTGGACCAGATGAGTGAAAAAAACTGATAAGGATAAGTGCAGTTTGTAAGAGAGAAATACCGGCATCTTGTATTCACATATTAACTCACATAACTCACAAAGTGAACGAATTGATATATGATATGCGGGACGCGATTTCAGCCTCCTTGATTTCGTATCTGTTTTTGAACTTTTGTGTTCATCATAAAGGGGTAAAGCAATAGTATTCGTAAGAAGACATTTCGATTAACGTTAGGAAACAATTTTAATTAGATCGTTCAAGAATAGGTTGGTCGGCCTAATAAGTGATTGCCTTTAAACAATATTCCAACAATCCGGTATAGTAATCGTAGTAGACATTAACCAAATAGATACGAATTGAAAGGAGTAATTTTATTACTAGCAGAGCTTGTAGTATAAATGCCCAAGTCCACGACAATATAAAAGAATTTATGAGATAGAAGAAGTTCTCGTTTCAATCCTATTACCAAAATCTTTCGGTAAAAGTACGAAGTTTTATTTCTCGAGAAGGACAAAAATGGATTATTATAATCATTTTTCGATCTACTTGACATTCTCTTTTAATCCATTTATTCAACTTGATTCACATAATATGTGAGCTTCACTTGCCAAATCGATTAACTCCATAAAACAAGAAGTTGAAAAAAAAGATAAAATATTACAAATCAATTATTATTTATTATAATAGTGGCCAAAACGATTTTGTCATTTATTGGTGTTAATACTTATTATTAGAGAAATTCGTTTTAAATATGTACAGCTAGGTAATGAAGCGCTTTAATATAAAAATTTAATAAAATTCCAAAAATGAAGTTAATCGATTTGGCAAGTGAAGCATCCATATATTGAATAAATATACAGTTGATATTTAAAAATAATTTAAAAAAGACTGCAACTTACGTGTTAAGTGCGAAGACCAAACTCTCGAAACCTAACGAAACTCATCGTAATGAAAAGAAAACCCTTCCTCATGTTTTCACTCGGCTCTCAAAATCTTTCGATGATATTAAACAACATTAGCTATATAGGCGATATCAGCGAAAAGAGTAGGACCAACGAAATGCTCCGAAAATTAGAAATTACTTCAAGCACTTGCGGTCGACAAAATCGATCGATATGTCAGTGATAGTTAGCATAAATCATCTTCAGCGAAATGATCAAAATTTCGAAATTTTTATTGAAAATCGTTCGTTACACGTTACAAAAAAGATCGAACTTATTGAGACTTGGAAAATTATTGAAATGAAATGAAATCGACCGATCGACAATCGAGATCGTCTCGCTTAGGCATTTGCGCATGCTTCTGATTTAATGTATCTTTATGCTCTAATTTTCTTTCCTTTTTCTACTGCAATTATAGCTTTGTCAACTGTTCAACTTTAGTTTATATCGAATCTAATCTATCACATCATATGAAAGAAAGCCATTAAACTAATCTAAATAATGTTACAATTTTTTGGTTTGATTACAGTTAAGCTAATCATTTTGCCTGAGTCCCAACTGTTATCTGTCGAGTAGTTACAATAATTTTCGTCTCTACTAGTACCAGTACTATGTCTAAACAGTGCTAGCGATTTAACAATGAAATGTTTCGTTACCATTAACTGCAGTCGTTTTAAATGATTCCAATTACTATAACCGAAAATCTTATATGTTTTATAAGAGAAAAACGAAAAAAAACGAAAAAAAAAAAAAAAGAAAAGAGAAGAAAAGAAAAGAAAATGACTTAAATATGTTACTAACGGAGGCTATTAATTAGTTATACTATAGGAGATAAGAACAAATTGCATAAAGTTGTTCAATTTAACTTAACTAAGGGTTAAGTGAATGAAGGCTTATAGCTCATTATTTCAGTCAGTGACATCTGCCTTAGTAAGAGTAGGATTTTGGTCAAGTATTTATGAAGTTGGACGAGAGAACACAAATAAATTTCCGAATAAAAATTCATTAAAAGTTTTTCAACTTTTGAATCGTCAATGGTCTTACACTTCAGTCAAAATTCAAACTTGACTAACGCGATTCATTAGCCATTCGTCACCACCTCAAACTATAAGTGAACGGAAGCGCGTATACACACACACACACACACATATATATATATATATATATATATATAAATATATGTCTATATATGTCTATATATGTATATAAATTTATGTTTTATAGAAGTTTTCGACTAACTCTGCTTATATTTCTTACGAACCTATACATACCTATACATGTGTGTGTATGCAATACATGCATGTCTACATTTATTAAACTTATTTACAATATCTAAAGTACTCTTTCGATCTGACCTACTTATAGAGGCCAGTTCGCCACTGTTGATGTATATTTTTTTCGATTCGCTTATATAATTTTCTTTATTTTGCCATTACATCATTCACTTTTATCCTTAACACATGTACAAACAAATCTATACACATACTTACGTAGATGTATTACAATGTTGTTATTTTACAATTAATAATAAAGGAATTTTTTTTATATACCTTTTTGTGTTTTTTTTGTTTTTTTTTTTTTGTTTTTTTTTTTTTATTATAACATAATTGCTTAACTAACCTCGACATTCGGTTGATTTGTTCGACCGCATAGCAGTACAACGCAATGCAATACTTTCGCATCAGATATTCAACAGCAATCACTTAACGATTTAATAATTATTGGAATTTTTTGTTCGCACATTTATCAATTTTTTTACGATTAATTACGAATGGCTGACACATCGTCTTCATTATTACTACGACCACCAATATTGATGCGCTGTATACCGTATGACCCGTTACTGTATCGATCATTATTAGATTTGCTTTCAGTTTTTTGGGAGAGCAAACACATCTAGGAAAATGTTATTCCGCACTACAAACAACCTATCGGCAATCATTTCTATTATAATTGTTGTATTACGTACAGTCACAAGCCTTCTTGGTCTTGAGAGAAAATACATTTATAGCGCTTATATATTATATATATATGCTTATCACAGCAATTGTCTTCGTGGCGCTAAACTATTATTATAGCCAGTAGTTGTTGTGGGAAAATTTAATGACGGTGATGCGGTTACTATCGTAGGGCGGCCAGTTTCATAGCAAGTAGGCATCGTTTCCCGGTAGCCCTGATCTTTTGTGATATTATTTTTGTTATTATCCTCGGAATTGCTAATCCGTTTACCGAGCAGTACATTACCTGTAGTACGATGTGTTGCATGATAGGGGGGCGGTGGTGGTTGACGATATTCGTACATAGTACTATTATCGGTGGGTGTGGCCACTGTGGTCGCACTGCAAACCGTTCGCTGAGGCAGTATTAATGATTTACTTTGGCGAGCGTTTAAATTCTCTATGCTAGCTGTTAGGGAAGCACTGACTCCGGCTGCTGCGTACAGCACATTTGGAGCTTGTCGTTTATCTTGATTTTTTGGCATTCGTCTGGTCGTACCAAATTTAGCCTGTAAATACTCTTGAGCACTTGCATTATATTTACTACGTGCTGTTGTGGTGATGGCGGTGTTGCTAGTGGTGTAGGCGGTTGTTTGCACAGGACTTGGGGCTTTTTGCGAATGCTGATGTTGATTTTGGCGTTGCTGTTGTTGTTGTTGTTGTTGCTGTTGCTGCTGTTGATGTTGCTGCTGATGCTGATGCTGATGATGTTGGTGCTGATGCTGATGCTGATGGTGCGTTTGCTGCTGTTGGTCCTCTGTTGCATGGTTTATTGTCTTGAATGTGACGGAGCCTGGTGTTACAGCAGGACTATAAAGTTCGCTTGCTTGATTACGTTGATTGTTGACTTTATTACCCGCATAGGCAGGCACCAAATCCGGTTGAAACTCAGCACTGCCGTTATTAAGTTTGCTGTCATTATTGTGGCCGCCCAGATTAGGGGTAGTAGTGATGGTAGCGGCGGCCACAATAATGACAGCAAACTTAATAACGGCAGTGCTGAGTTTCAACCGGATTTGGTGCTGATGCTGATGCTGATGGTGCGTTTGCTGCTGTTGGTCCTCTGTTGCATGGTTTATTGTCTTGAATGTGACGGAGCCTGGTGTTACAGCAGGACTATAAAGTTCGCTTGCTTGATTACGTTGATTGTTGACTTTATTACCCGCATAGGCAGGCACCAAATCCGGTTGAAACTCAGCACTGCCGTTATTAAGTTTGCTGTCATTATTGTGGCCGCCGCTACCATCACTACTACCCCTAATCTGGGCGGCCACTGACATGCGGTTTATTTCAGCTTGTACTCGTCCATGTGGATATTTAATATGGTGCATATCTAAAATGATTAAACAAACACAAGCAAAACTCATAGATGTGTAGAAAATCATATATTTATTTATACAAAAAAAAAAAAAAAAAAACAAAATGTAGACAAACTAAGAAATTTGCTCAACAAAGGATTTAAAAAAAAAAAAAAACGCTTAGTAAGGAACTTGTATATGGCGTAGACAAATATTATTATACACGCGTAAGCCCAGTATTTTATATTTAGCTAAAAGTGGTAAAAAAAAAAAAAAAAAAATAAACTTTAAGAGAACGTCTCAATCACGAAATGAAAGATTCAAAAATTTATGAAACAAAACATTGTTGTAGGTAGGTTTTGCATTTTAGATCTACTCTTCAATTACTGCTATGCCAATTATTTAGTGTTAGTATAATAGTTTGACTTTCTATCGCAAACCTTATCTTCTCTATTCGCCTATTCTTAGTTTACAACACTCAACCGGAATAGGGAAAGAGCTTAGTTGATGCACACCAATCAGATGCGCCACACATTGAACATCATCAGACACACCAATCCAGATACAAAGGTCTACGTGATATATGGACGCCAACAATCCAATGACAATTGCATGTAAGAATTGCGATATGATTGAAAAGTTGTATAATGAAATTTTTTTTTCATGCTAGATATCGGCCTAAAAAGTCATCCATCCATCATACACCTCCTTACTTAAATCGTTCTAATGACTCGCTTATATAATTGAATAGATTTTACAATTATTAAAATGATTGTTAGCCAAGATTTAACCAAAGGCGAATACAATTCTTTTTTTTTTTTTTTTTTTTTACTTATTTACCTTTTTTCTATTAACTAAGTTTTACATAAGTCCAATGAAAAACGAAATAAAAACATGGTCGTTCGGCGTAAGTAATGCACTTCTCGTTACGAATAATTATGTGGTAAGATTCCTTTAAGTAATTTGAAAGTACATACATACTGAATGAATATTTCAAGAAAGTTTTTACATCAATCAATCACCTTGTGCTTGATGTAGACGAGAATTTTATATTGTTTTCTTTAAGCAGAATTATGTAACTAAGATTCATAAATTCATTTTAAATTTGTTTTTTTAACTTACCAACGCATTCGTGAATATCTAAAAACAGTTGATTGCTCAATATAATGAACAATACGACTCTGTCGAATTTGTGCAAACTTTAACTGATTCCGATACTCGGTTAATCGATTCGAATTTAAATTTTTAATTTTTTTTGTTTTTTTTTTTTTTTCATTACCGTTTGCGGCTAATCAAAATTTTTTCAATGAACCCTTTCTCAAAACACTTTGGTTTATGTGTTTTCGGGAACTTTGCAGCGGTTTTCGTTATCAATCACACAGTGGATATCACTTATATACATGGGACACGACGATGGTCAAAGAAACTGTGACAAGAGAAAACGATAGGGATGTGATAGTCGCAGTCTAGCGGACGTATACCCAATCGCTAAATGTTACGCGTTTCCTGATAGCGTCCACGACAACTACGATATCAAGCACGCCGTACGGCACTGAGTTTTGAATCTGCGAACATTGACTCCGATTATCGCTCATTTATCAACTCGTCATACACATGTTATACCTTCAATGCAGAGAATGTAGAGAATGCTCGGCCTCTCTCTCTCTCTCTCTCTCTCTCTAAGGGAATCAATCATAAGTTAACCGTAAATAAAATTTTGGCAACATGGACGGGCAAAATTTATATTTTAATATCTATTCGCATATACCACAATTTTTGTAAAAATGATGCCGATGACGACCGACGAAATGAAGAAGCTTAAAGCAATTCATGATCTGGTTAAATCAAAAATAAAAAAATAAAAAATTGAAAAATTGAGAAATTGAAAAATAGAAAAACATCTGCTTGTACTGATTGATTCATTTATCACACAAACACTGTATGTGACGGGGTTATACGTAGTTTCAGAATTTACTTTTCACCAGCCAACAAAGCTGGCTAATAAACTAATTTTATGCCAAATGCAGATTTTTGTTTTTGCTTCTTCTGTTTTGTTAACCTTAGAATATTCATTTTTCTCAATTGTATTTTCATTTTCTTTCTTGGCACATGATTCGTATGCCATCGCTGCAATTTCACATTCACGTTTACATTCATTCATTCATTCATTCATTCTTTCATTCGTTTATTCATTCATTTATTCACTTGTATTTGAATTCGTTTAACAATAGATGTGAAGGAAAATTCCGTTATCCTTACAACTACTTTTATATATGTGTTTAAAGTAAACAAACACGCTATAGATCGATCTAAACTTAAACTTAACAGGAATGCAGAAGTTTTACAAAACAAATTTAAAAAATAGTAGCGAAGCGTTTGTAATATTGGCATAAATAAAGATGACTAAGTTAACCTTAGAGATACTTTTAAAGGGCACAATAGCTAATGTCAAGTGTTTATGGAAAGCAATGATAAAAAATATACGAAATTATCGGAAGACGATACACTTATACACTATACAAACTGTATGGCATTTAAAGGTTAATGCAGCCTTAAAACAAATTCAAATGATTTCGATTAAAAATAAACGACAGAACTTTCTTTTAAGCCCACTAGATAGATGTGCGAAACTTGAAGGGATTTATTTGTAAAAAAAAAAAAAAAAAGCAGAGAAGAGAAAAGAAGAAAAAAAAAAACAACACATTTAACTTACATATATATATATATATATATTTTCTCATTGGTGCGCGCGCCCCGGTTGTCGACTGCCAAGCGACCGCAGTTCAACAAACTAACTATATTCAATGTGCCAGTGAATTTTACAAAATATTTGTTAGTTTTGCTTTGTTATGCCGCTCCCTAAGGTCTAACATACATTTGTGCATTTGTATATGTTTATTATCAGTTTAAAATCATTCATGGAATTTTTACCATTTCGAACAACTGCTGTATACCTGGTGGACAGTAAAGGTATTGGTACATAACTTTGTACCGAGCGAAAACCTCGGAATTCAAAACAAAACGATATCGTTTTATTCATTTTGTGTTATTTTGTGTTGAGATTTTTTTCTAATTTTTCCACTTATTTGATCTTTATTGAAGTTTTTCCTTTTGTTGGTTTGTTTGTTTGTTTGCTTATTTGTTTATTTATTTGTTTCTTTGTTTTTGTGTTTAGTTTATATTCAACTCTTTATGCTGTAAATAATGTAAAAAAAAACTTCCAACCACTCGACATTAAGCAGCGACTTGAAAAATATAATTTATGTGCATAAATATGTTTATTAAATTTACGTGAAAGGAAGGAAGCAAAAAAAAATATATTTGATTTCAATTATAGGTAACATCCATTATCCATCAGCATCTCATGCTTTAAAGCGTAGCGCGTATTCTATACGCTATCTTGCTTATGTCTTTTCACATTTTCCGCTTGCGACGGACAATTCAAATTTCAAATCATATCATATTAATTTTATTGGAATAAATTGTTATTGAAGTTTCATTAAATATAAATTCAATTCATGGCAAATTTATATTCAATAACTTTTTACCACAAAAATATTTCATCTTTCAATCAATTCGCTTAGTTGAAATTCGCTAAGATGAGTATTCAAGATTCGTTGTATAATAAAAATATAATATTTTACCTTAACTCGGTGCTTATTTTTCTATTCTTGCCTTTTTTATTTATTTATTTATTTTTTTTTTTTTTTTGTTTTATTTTATCTTATTTTTCCTTTTTTTTTTTCTCTGTTTATCGTGTTTACTCGAATTCGGTTAATGGAATGCGGTTGCATAGTTTTAATTATCTTTAATTTGAAATAATATTCATATAGAGTTTTGTTATTTTTCAATGTTTTGTTTGGAATGAATGAACTCCTGAAAAGGCTGCACTGGACACAATTAATTTTTGTGCTCTTTAGTGACCCAAATGACAGTTGAAATGTTTTAATTAAAAATTAAAAGAAAATTTTTAATTAATCTAACAATTAATTCATTTTTATATAATTATCATTCGTGTTAGATGCTTTAGATCACAAAAGCGTATATTATCATAGTTAAAATATATGAGATATACAGACCAAACGACGTTTTCTCTACCCAAAAACATTTGTAAATTTTAACAGACTTATTTAACGGAAATTGTGAGTACGGCACACACTTTCAAGTTTTTGCATTTTAAAAAAATTATTAATAATCATTAACATATGGTTGGCATGTAAAGTCAGTAAATAATAGGAAGACAAGAAATAATAAATCGCGAAAAATAACAATTGAAGTAAAAAGCTATGTTACTTAACGATAGTTAATGGATGACAGGCATGGATACCAAACAATCCACATCAGCCACTAAATAGTGAAGAGAGAGAGAGAGAGAGAGAGAGAGAGTAACAAAAAATACAGGCAATTTCTTCTTCTTCTTCTTCTTCTTCTCCTTTTCTCTTTATATGGTCAATTATTTAAATAATATTCCTTACATATCTAATGCGGTCACGATCACGAAGATGTGAAGAAAGAGTGAAAAAGCTGCCTAGTGTATGTGAGGCCGATCACACACTGTAATGCCTTTACGAGCATTCATTATAGCTGCCACTAACTATGGCCAACTCACGAGCAGTTAAGGAAGTAAAAACCTTTGGATATTAACTAACTAACCCATCAAACTATAGTTACTTACTAATATAGGATAGTTATCGCATAAGTTGTAAACATTAATGGAAAATATCCCATGCATAAGGTGTAATTAATAATAAGCAAGAGTGACTATGGTCACCTAAAGTACGACTTAAGTCACACGTGCGTAGCAGAGCCTCTTGTAGTGGATTTTTCGAGGCATATCAACCCAGCAGGGCGTATACGCCCAGGAAATCCTGGATGAGTGCGACGCTAAGCCCTGACTATTGGGGATGGTCGTTAGGGTGGCAGCGTGGGCAGACACTTTAAATCAATTTGATAATTAAGGCGCAGTGAGGCCTTCGGAGTATAGGGATTGTAGCACTCATTGGAGCGTGCTAAGTCACATTCAAGTAATTCGCTGTGTTAGTGGGTACGCGTAATATTAAATCACATGGCGGCTATTTGCGTTAACCCGTAAGTCAACGTTAAAGTAACGAGTTGTAGATGATGAAGGGAGGTTGATAATATCTAATGAATAATAGGTTGCAAAAACCGCATAGGTAATACTTAATCAATGTTCGATGTCGATAGGGTGGCTTTATGTTTTCAAAATTCATCGATTCATGCATTTTTATTTTTCCTCCGAACTCGAACTCAGAAAATAGAAGCGGCCTGTTTGTCATTATTGTGTTTAAGAAACGGTTATTCTTGCAACACAGCCCCATAAATTATAATCGTATGCTATATATAATCATATCCCCTTAGCGATAAGGCAGTTCGCCATGATGGACTTTTAAAATGCATTAGATGAATGAAATGTATAGGAATGAATGTATAGCATAAGTCGGCTCTAATTTTCAATTTTTCAAAATGCCAACCTATCACTTTGGAGCGAATAAAGTACAAAACGAATCAGAAGAAGAAGAAGAAGACGAAGTGAGTAAAGGGGATTGTATTTCCAAATTCCATTTCGAAATAATTGCAAATAACTTATCTATCGTTGGGTAACCACACTTTCTATTAGTTTGTTTTAATGAGTACAGTGTCCTTACCCTTTGAAGATCACATTAGGGGCTCATGATGCTAAACGAAGCGATTTAATCGAACTTTTTGTAAAGATCTTGTGTTTCTCTACTTTTATTGCTTATTTAAGAATAATTGCAAACGTAACCTCAATCATGCGAAAGATTCAAATTATTACGGTTTGATAATAAAAAAAAGTTAAAATTTTATATCATCTCTGAATACTGATAAATATCGATTGCTATCGTTTGACATATTGACGACTAACAGATGCTTATACTAATAGACTTCCAGCTCGACAATTACAATTTTGATTGAAAATGTCTTATACAGTATGATGCTGATAACAGTCCATTGATATAAATTTCTATTCATAATTGCGCGAGAAAATATATATAATTGCAACGAAACTTTCGCGATTTATTGAAGCGGAAATTATCTAAAAATATCTATATTCCGTATGGCTTTTAGGAGAAATAAACTGAAAACGTATACACGTTACGTTGTTGTTATGCATTGAATGAAAGCTAAGGCGATGCAAGTGCATCAGCTTAACACGCCCAGAATTGTACGTAGAACAGAATGGCGAGAATTTGTTAGGCAAGCTTGAGTCGATTTCAAAATTTTCTATCACACTTATATTTGTATCATTTGATAACACTTGCCCGGTTGCCACTCCTCCTTGGCAATAAATATCAATTTATTTGCTACACATTCTTTATAAATGAGTTATGTAAAATAAGTTATCATCTTGTTCACTAGGAAGCTTAAGAATTATAGCCGACTACGTGAAAACGGATATTATTTCAAAACTTCATTAAGCGAAATATTTTCATTATAAAAAGTAAAAAAAAAAAAATAAATAAAATTCTTCTGGAATTAAAAGATAATCCAAAATAAAAAACTTGAAAATTTTTATAAAAAGCGTCGTCAGGTAAAAAGTGCCAAAATGAAAAAGCATTAAATAGCTGTTATTAAAAGAGAAAAACGAAAAAAGTAAAAACACAAAAAAGTGAAGCTGATTATTAATGGTCCCCATATTTTATGCGGGTTAGCAAATATTAAATGAAACAAAACGAACGGAGAGTATTTCCATTTTAGTAATTGCTTACGCTGAAAAAGAATTGTCCTATTTATCATAGCCATGCATCACAAATATATATATATATATATATATATATACAATACTGTCCATCGTGTTGGTACTGGTAAGGCGACATTGTGTAGCGATGACAACGAACATGAAAATGGATTTACTTTCAGTTTTTCTTATACAAATGATAACATAAAGCGACATAAAGCGAGAAAATGAAAACGCAAGAACAAACGTATATGGCATATAGGTATATGTGTTTATAAGAACCTGCACGCATATTCTTGCATAAAATGAAAAGACAAACTCACCTTCATTGCTTTGCGCCAAATATGCTTTTTCCGCATGACCCAGTTGCGCATCGCCTACTGTCTTTATGCCTACTTCCAATAAAGGTGAGGCAATGTTAATAGAGCCACCGCCAACGCCACCGCCACCGC